CCACCGCCCCGACCATTCCTGTATACCCCTTTCTTTTTCGCATTGGCACCCCACCCCGCACCCAAATCGTTAAGCCTCTACTCGCGACGCCGGCTAGGTGTGAGTTCTTCTCTTCTATCTAAAACTGACCGGCCCAAAATTTGTTTTCAGACAACTGAGGATAGTAAATCCGCTATAAAAAATAACAAAATTTGGCAAGACGAGAAAAAAAAGATAAGGAAAAAAGTAGTTTTCTGATGATATGAATATGATGGATGCCCTAGATATGTAGAAATCTGATGAGAAATTACGATGGAACCCTACAAATTAACATTAAGCATCGCCTAGGTATATTTCACTTAATTATATGACTTCCTAATTCTAGAAGACATGACAATGATTGATGTAATAAATATCTCCATGTTCTATAAACCGGGCAAAACCGATGATTAGTTATACGTCAATTTTAGTCCTAGCATGACAAGAACAAAAAAGGAACAATAATAATAATTTGCGAGGATATGAATATGATCGATGACCGAACCTAGGTGTGTAGAAATCTGATGAGAGATTATGGACCTGCAGCTGGTTGTGTCAGAAAGTTGTCGGTCGACAAGACTTATGGGCTCAACTTGGGAGTGGAGCTACTGGGAGAGGAAGAGCGCCGGAACTGCCCAAATGACCGACCGAGGGAAGAGAAGCACATGGGGTGTTCCTCGATCGACCGATTATGATATGAAGAGGTGGGGAGATAAAAGGTGGCTCGCCCCTCCCACTGGGTCTCATGCAATTTGCCATGTTGGTCCTTTCATTTTGCTCTCCCTGTTGCCGCCCTAGACACGGTCTCCTCTAATTCTTTCAAATAATGGTTGTTGCTAGTCACTAATAAGAGCACTACTTAAGTAAGATTTGGGGCATGTACTGTCGCCCACTTCACCCTTACAGCTGTCAGGTAGCATCCATGATTAATGATCAGGAAGGAATGCACTTGTATCAAAAGCGGAGAAGGGGGGTGGAGGGGGAGAGACTGTTGTGACCTTCCTTATATGGCCAGTACGTGTACAATGCAACAAAAAATCTTGGTGTGAACGCGCACGTTGGTGCCTTGGGCTTTACAACACGACTCGTGTCCAAAGAAGGAACAATGCAAGGAGGGGGGGGGCAATTACCGGAGCAAGAGGGAAATGGATAAGGGAGGGGTCGACCGGCCATCGATGACAACAAGGCATCATCATAGATCCTATATATGTCCATATCGGCATGGGC